ACTGTAGTATTTCAAACATACAGGTTAAGAAGTCTGTCAAGATGATGACAATGGTTTGCTTATACCAATGTGTCTAGCTATTGACAGTCCTGTTACAAGCAAACAGAGGTAACTTCAGCTGCTTTTCTCTGATCCAGCTGTTCCCTGCCTCTTCATTATCTACTGGAAGTATGTCAAGGTAAGAAATAATTAGATTTTCATAGAATTGCCAAATACTGATTCCTGAAACTGACACAAATAATGACTGGAATATTCCAATCTGTGAACAAAAGCAAACTTTCTCTGTCTCTCAACCTCAGACAACTAGTTTTAAGAAGAAAAGATAGAAACTAAGGTGTAGACAGACTTTGGTGGGAATTGCATACCTTAAGTACATATTTAATTCCTTCATAGATAAGTTCAACATCTACTGTGTTCAGAAGTGTGTGAGCAGGAAGGACTTGACCCCTGAAAGAAAGACAATATATGACATACTTACTTCTATAAAGTTCTAATAAGTTATAAAGAAATCTCAAAGATTATTGATTGTGATATTTCCTGAAATGATAATAAGAGAAAAAAACCTAAATGATTGTCTATAAAAGATTGATCATATACATTGTGAAAAAAATTATGTTAAATAGTGGTATGATATACAAAACATAAAACTTATTATTAATGGGGAATGGAGAATACCGAGTGAGTGACTTTCTGCATGAATGTGTGCTGCTGACAGGCATGCCAAGGACCCCCTAAAGCCTCAGACTCATAAGAAAATGGCAAAGCCTTCCCAGGACAAGCTCACAGAAATTGGAAGGCCTTCTCTTCTAGTCCTAGTGCAAATGCTGACAGTGTATGCAGAAAACTTCCATCATAGCTCTTTTCCCCCAGACATTTACAGCCTTAAGACTACTCCCTAAAGCTACTATGCCTACCAAGATTACCTAAACTTGCATTGTTCCTTGATCCAGCTGCATACCATCAATCCTGTTTCCCTGGTCATCTGTGTATAGCAACCCTACTTCCTGGTTCAACTGCATACAATAACCTACCTCTTTGTTCAACTGTATATAACAAATACACTGAACTTCCTGGTGTTGTAATTTCATCATCAGAGAGCCCAGTCCACCCAACTCCAGCTACTTCTCTAACCATATCTGTCTGCCTCCCAAGTGCTGGGATCAAAGGTGCGTACTACCACAGCCCAGTCCCCTATTTCATCTTTTTCTTTTCCTTTCTTTTTTTTTCTGGTTTGGTTTTTATTTTTCATGACAGAGTTTTTCTGTGTAGTCCTGGCTGTCCTGAAGCAAGCTGTGTAGACTAGACTGGCCTTGAACTCAGAGACCTACCTGACTCTACCTCTCAAAAAGCATGTGTTACCACCACCAAGCTTACTTCAGCTACTTATGTACTAAGACTATAGGTGTGAATGAACCACTAAGCTTAGCAATTTCATTTTAAAGAACAAAAATAGATATTCTATATTTCAAAAAGGTGCATAGTGGAAAACAGTCTGAACTACAAGAGTTCTGAGACAAACAGGGCCACACAGGGAAACCCTGTCTCGAGAAATGAAAAATAAAAAAAGAAGCTGAAGTAGGATGGATGACTGCTGTCACAAACAAAAGATGTCAGACTTTGAAACTCTGATTAAAAAAAAAAAGAGGGGGAGTACTAAAGAGAGGTAAAGAGAGGACAGCTGAGTTACTGATAGCCAGTAGGTATGGGTGAAGAGCATGCATGCACATTACCTGTACTGGCTATAAAAGGCAAGTTATGAGGCAGGGTATGCTGGCATACACCTTTAGTCCCAGTACTTTAGAGGCAGAAGGCAGAGCTCTATGAACTCAAGGCTAACCTGATCTCCACAGTGAATTCCAAGCCAACTAGGGCTACACAATGAGTCAAGAGACAATAAAAAAAAAAAGTTTAAATTTAATTGTGCCATGTGTTGTGGCATATGCCTGTAATCCAAGCACTTGGGAGGTACAGGCAGGAGGATTATGAGTTCAAGGCCAGGAACAGCTACCTAGTATGTATGAGAACAGCCTGGACAACACTACGCACCTCCCCCAGGATTATTTCAAATTCAAGTTATTAAAATAGAATGTTGGGGCTGAGCCAGGAGATAGTGGTGCATGCCTTTAATCCCAGCACTCGGGAGGCAGAGACAGGCAAATCGCTATGAGTTTGAAGCCACCCTGGTCTGCAGAGCCAGTTCCAGGACAATTCAAAGCTACTGAAAAACCCTGTCTAAAAAAGTTGGGGCTGGAGAGATGGCTTAACAGTTAAGAGTGCTTGCTGCTCTTCCAGAAGACTCAAGTTCAGTTTCCAGAACTCACACGAAGTGGTTTACAATTGTGTTTTAACTCTAGCACCAGCTTCTAGCCTCTGCAATCCATACATATGTGCCATTTATAAACACATAAATGTTGTTTTGTTTTCTATAAAGAACAGTAGGCTCAGCATATTGATAGATCTATAATCCCAGCACTCTGGAGACTGAGGCAAGTGAACTGTGAATTAGAAGCCAGCCTGGGCTACTTAGGCTAGCTACTCAATGCCAACCTGTGATATACATACAATGAGAGTGTCTCAAAACAACAAAACACAACAAAAAAAGAAAAAAAAAAAAAGAAAACTAAAGGATTTGTTAATGCACTTTTACATTCATAGGGGATCCATTTAACTAGGTTAGAGATGTGTGCTGAGGAATAGAAATGAGAAAGAATGGACTGGTAAGGGGGCCAAAGTGTTCAGGGAGTTGAAAGTCACACCGAGGGATTTAGATTTGAGTAAAAAAGGAAATTCAAGGTGCTGAAGGCTTTAGTGTATGAGAATAGCATACCGAGATATTTATCACAGGGCTTGAAACCTCAGTTCAATTTTCAAAAATTTGCTTCTTTTCTTCTTTTCAGATACTTTGAAAGGGAGCAATATAAGTCTAACAACACAGAAGGAAATAAAGTGCCTGCAGTTAAAGTGCTTGGATGTGATTAGTCCTTTGGACCATTCCCCTGGGGACTTGGGCAGAGCTTAGTCTCTGGAATCAACATACAAAATTAGTTCAGCTTCATACATGTTTGACCCTCCACTCAAAGACTTGTGAGGTCATCCTGATTATCAGCCTCAATTATTAATTCCTGAAATGATGCTATAGGTAATACAGGAAATATTTAGGGTTTATCCCCACGGTTTTCTCAGGAAATCATGTTTGCTGCAGTTGGGTTTCAGTGTTTGAAAAACTAAATTAGCCTTGGAGGTGGGGAGATGGCTCAGTGGGTAATGTTCCTGCCATAAAAGTGTGAGGATCTGAGTTGAGATTCCCAGTGTCTGTGAAAAGCAGAGCACAATGACTCATGTCACTCCAGCACTGTAGTGATTGTAGGGGGAAGAGGCTGGGGTGATAAAGATAGGCATATCCTGAGAGTTCATTGGCCAGAAAACCTAGTTGAATTCGTGAGCTCTAGGTTTGATGAAAGACTTTATTTCTACAAATGAGGTGAGGCCAGATATGGTAGTGCGCACCTTTAATCCCAACACTCATAAATTAGAGGAAGGTGGATCTCTGTGAGTTTGCAGCCAGTGTGGTCTATACAGTGAATTCAAGTACAGAGAGAGAGAGAGAGAGAGAGAGAGAGAGAGAGAGAGAGAGAGGGAGGGAGGGAGGGAGGGAGGGAGGGAGGGAGGGAGGGAGGGAGGGAGGGAGGGAGGGAGGGAGGGAGGGAGGGAGGGAGGGGAGAGGAGAGAGAGAGACTCTATCTCAAAAAAACAAAAACAGAAAAACAAATAAACAAAACAAAAACCAGCCAACCAAACAAAACCCATAATGTACATTAAAAAAAGACACCAAATGTCCATTTTTTGCCTCTAATCTCATGCTTACACATGCAGGTACTCATGTATATACCCACATGAACACATACATAACACATACACACTTTTAAAAAGTGACCTGTTCTACTGTGGCATAAACGAATTTCCAGTCATTCACCCTCTCCTTTGCTACCAGTTCATGACTAACAACTAGCACTCATATGGTGCCAGAAAGTTGCAGAAAAACAAATGGGCCTTTGAGCTGTAGTTCTGTACTCTCAATCACTGGTTGGCTGGCACGGACACAAGAGCAAGGCCTACCTTTCTAAGGAGTGAAGGAAGTTAGAGATGCTATTCCTCAGGCTCACATCTGCCACATGGAGAGCCCCACACACAACTCCCAACATGGTGTCAGGACGTTCTGCCTAAAAAGAACAGAGTGCAGAGCAATAGCATGGTTATAGGACACCAAAGCAACTCAAATAAAACTAAAATCAAATTTGTTATGAAGAAACATCCTTATTTCCTTACTGATTTTTGAACCAAGAATGGTGGTATACACCTGTAATCCCAGCACCTGGGAGGTGGAGGCACTATCAGATAACGTTGAAGCCAGCTAGGACTACAAGAGAACTTCCTTTTTTAAAATTTATTTTTATTTCATGTATGTTGTTTGCCTGCATGTATGAAAGTGTACCCTGCATGTGTCTGGTGCCTTCTGAGGTCAGAGGGCAGCATCAGGTCCCCTAGAACTGGAATTACAGATGGCTGGCTATGAGCCACTACATGGATACTAAGCTCTGAACTAGGTTCTTGGGAAAAGCAGCCAAGTCATCTTTTCAGTCTCCATGAAACCTTAAGGAACATAAGAAAGGACTAATGCAGATGATAGACCCAAGCCATTCAAGAGGACATAAAGACAATTGTTCTAATTCTAACTCTGTCATTGATCTTTTTTTCCTTCTTTCTTGGTAGTGAACAAATGCATAAAAATAGTATCAGTAGTTAAAGAATAAAACCCAGTGTGAAATCCCACAACTTTAGAATGACTGTATTGAAGTTCATTGAGATGTATAGACTTGGGATTTGGTTACTTCTCGTCTGTAAAGATTTTTTTATATTTTTTGGTTGTGAGCCTAGACTTTAATGGCTGAGCCATCTCTTCAGCCACTGTAGTGATTTTTAATTCCATGTTTTTTGTTTTTAGTTAGGTATCATCAGTTTAGTATAAAAAGAAGACATGGAAATTATTTACATGATGAATAATTCAGAATGTCAGTGGAATGAGCAGCTTCATGTGACACCATTTCAACAGCAATTAGTCCATATACTTTCCAAGAATGTCACCATCTCTAAATAAGAAATAATCTTTGTCATCTAGAATTACTCTGATGCTTCCTTATTCTGGTAGAACTGACCAGCTGAATCTCTCCATCCTTTCCTTTCGAGCCTGATCCCACAGGGACTACTGCTGCTTGCAATACTTTTCCTTGAGACTTTTCTAGAAGCATAATGTCACCTTTTGTCACAGTTTCAGTGGCACTCCTTTCAAGCAATACTCTGCCAAAGAGCAGGAGAAACTTTCTGAAATCTTGTCCAGCCCCGATTTGTATCCACTGAAACTTGGACTGTGCACTTAGGCCACCCCTACAAGGAGAGTCTAATTGCAAGGTTTTTAATGATAACATTTACAACTTGTTTTTAAAAGAAATAACAAAAAAATCCTTACATTTACCTTTAGAATTTGGAAACAGATTTTAAAAATTAATTTTCCTTCTTACTCTATGTGAAATTTTCATTGAGCAAATCAAAGACTATTTCACAAACAGGCAATCAATCCCAAAGGCTATGTGCACAACAGGAGAACACACACCTGCACTTTTTCTGCAATCAGTCTGTCCAGCCAGCCAGTGTCGATTCTATTCAACTGAAAGCTTTCGGTCTCCAGCAGTTTGATCAGGTATTCAACTGTAGTTCGAAAGTCACCACGAATAGACAGCTCCTTCAATGCCACCACCATATTTCTAGGGGAAGAACAGAAAAAAATTTGTTACAGCTACAAATATTTTGTTTCATTCTTTTGGAGGCTTAGCAGGAGGACAGGCAGTTCCAAGAACAGATGAGGGTGTAGCTGTAAGCCAGCTCATTTTCATGTACTCCAGATAGGAGAGCTTCCAAGAAGTCAGTATACAGGAGTTTTGACTAATATTGCCAAAAAGCATCTGCAAACAAAAACATTTCACCTTAAAGAATACAGGCAGAACCATTCTCAGCTTTCACTTGTCAATTTTCATTGTTTCAGTCATTTATTGCTGACTAGTAAGAAATAGGTCACTAACTTTCCAATTCCTTAAATCTTAATTTATATACCATCCTTACTTTATGTATCATTTCCATGCAACAAAACATACTTAAAAGCTATAGTTTAGTAATTTTGACAAGGTTTCCCTACCCAAAGCAACAGACTGGAGTTGGCTGACAGCTACATACTTCTGTAGTGTCCTTCTATAATCCCAATGCCATCATACTTGCTCACAACACTACATTTTTATTGCTTGTCTCTCTTCCTCTGGATTATATAGTACCATGAGGATACAGACTCTGTTTAGTCTTTACTGTCAGGCCCAGCATGATGGTATATGTTGAGTATGGTGAATTTATGAATGACTGGAGAGAAGAAAGAACAAAACAAACAGGAGCAAGAAGAAAATAAGTGCTGTGTTCAGGAAACAGTGTGACTGAAACAGAGGGCTTGAAGACAGTGACAGAGGCAAATCTACTATTCCACAAACATTTCCTGAATGCTGACACAAAGGGAATATATGGATTATATGCTTATAGTTCAGGGGATATAGCAGTAACAACATAGATATGTTTCTGTTTTCTTGGTATTTACATTATGAGAAATGATATTGGATGTGTGGGCTAAGACTATTACAGAGATATCTAAAGGCAGAGAAAAGAATACAGATTAGCTGTAACAAAGAATGCAACAAAAAAAGCTCTGAGCTGAAAAGAGAACTCTTAACACAGTATCAGGAAGCAAACATTGCAGAGACAATTGCAATATGCTAAAAGGTGACCTAGTTTGCTTTCTTCTGCAGAGCAGATCAGAAGTAAGAAGTCAAGACTTCTGATCAAGTCATTGGACATATCCTGCAGAATAAAAACAGTGGTCTGTTTAGTTAAAACTGAAACAAAAATGCCAATAGAGACCAGTCTGTGAATGTAAATGAGACAAGGAAAGTAAAGGGGGACTGTCTAAAATACTCAACTCATGTCCCAGTTAAAAGAAACAGTCACACAAAACTTTGACTACAGGCTGGCAAGCAAGCTGGCTTAACCTGCCACCAGGTCCCAAAAACCACACCCTGGAAGAACTGACACCTTCAGGCTCTCCTCCCCTATCTCCTCTCCCTCCATTCCCTCTCTCTCTCTCTCTCTCTCTCTCTCTCTCTCTCTCTCTCTCTCTCTCTCTCTCTCTCTCTCTCTCACTCACTCACTCACACACACACACACACACACACACACACACACACACACCAGCAGTATAAGACAACTTTATACAATTATTTTCTGGTAGCACTGCTATAATTTTGAAAATTTTCACACAGTCTTGAAGAAATGTAAAGAATGCAAAGTACAAAAGAGAGAAACAGTGAGACTTCCTCACTTTTGAAACATTTTCAAAAACTTAAGAATTAGACTGGAGAGATGGCCCAGCAGTTAAGAGCACTAGCTCTTCTTACAGAGCACAAGGGTTCCTTGGCACCTTACAACAATCTGTAACTCCTCTTCTGACCTCTGTAGACATCACCATGCATACAGTTCATATACATACATGCAGGGAAAACACTCATAAACCTAAAATTTTTTAAAAAATTACCAGCAACAATAACAAACCTCTTAAGACTATTAACAAATACTAATGGAATACCCACTCTGTGAACAGTTCAAAGGTGAAGGGAATACTATTAAATCTGTGGCATAGGCAACGCACCCTTAAAACTTAAATAAAAACAGAAAGAGAAGTTTAGAAGTAGTTCAGAGGCAGAGCATCCATAAGGGCCTGGGCTCAATCTCTAGCACCACAAAGAAAAGCAGGAAAAAGGAAGGGAAGGAGGCTGGGAGAGAGAAAGGAAGTGACAAGGGAGAGACGGAGGGACAGAGAAGGCCGGAAGGGAAGATAGAAAGAGGCAGATTAATTAAATTTTTAATCTGGGACAGATATTTTAAAACATATATTAATCAAATTACTTCCTAAAATCCCTATTTTTTAGGCAATTAAAACTGCTGATAATTTAATATTTATGATTAGCAGAATATTAATATTTAATATACCATTTATATTTGTGTAAACTGCTACATGCTTTCTAATACAATGAAGTCTCTTACATGCAATTTTGATAATTATTTTATTCTTTTCATAAAAAACAATCAATATTTTAATATTTTAAATGTAAAGACATCATGGTGATTGTGGCTAACAATACTGAATATCTGAAAATGCTAGGATTATCACCAGAAATAAAAAGTGGTAAGAATTTGAGGTGATGCAAATGCCAAAGAGCTTGATTTCATGAGGCATGCATTTAGCAAAGCAGCATATGGTGCACCAATATACACATACATTTACATACACACACATAAAAGTTTCAAATTAGAAAACTCAATGACTATGAGTTGTTCACAGCTATATTATGAGGCTCTGGGTACAGTCACAGTACCTAAGAAGCACTTTATTCTCATGACAGATAAAGACCTTTATTTATAAATTATCTGATACCTAATTCATGGTCAAGACTCTGCCTCTCCCCAGTAATACTACCATTACTGTAAAAACAAAAACAAAGCAGATGACTTCATGTGTTTAAAACAAAACAAAAAAACTTGCAAATACACACAAGAAGCATGTACTCAAGTACAAACTAAGATATATATTTCTTGAAGTAAGCAATTTCACAGCAGATAAAGGATGATCATACCTTCACCAAGGATTAGGCCAAGTTTATTAAGCAAAATGCAATCAAATGCTATTATACTCACGAAATTGCCTCTTCTCTGTTTTCTCCCCAGGAAAAGCAGTGACCAAACTGAGAGTCAGCAAACTCATGAAGTCCCCCAGCAGCAGCAACACTGAAATAACCCCAAACGTTCTTATTGCTGCGAAAATTAAGTTCCTGAACTGTTCCCGAGCTGGGCTTAAACCCCTGTTAGAGAATGAAGAACACGAGAAACTACATTGAATTCCCAAGGAAAAGAACATTGATATTCAGTGTGCAGGCTCTGGGATCATCAAGCACAACTGACCCAAAACCCGTGCAAGCCAATCTCAGTGCTATAGTCCCACAGATGCTTCCTAAGTGACTTAAGTGAAATTAAACAACCATCACATATCTAATCTCAAAATCTTTTTATAAATTTCCCTCTCAAAATGAAGTTCCAAGACTTTTCAAAAGCATGTCATCCGACATTTGTCTTAATGTTAAGCCATTTAAGTAAAGGGTTACCTCATCTGGATTTTCACTGGTGATCCGAGCGGCAATTACATGGCCCCTTGGGCAAGGAACATGAGCAGAATTTTCAAAATCAATGGGAGCATCACCCCAAGGAGAGACCCCATACATTATACGAATATCTTTGATCCTAAATAGAGGGATCCCCATGGCAATCTGAAAGGTAATAAAACACATGTCATTTTCCACAGAACCCTTTTCTTGACAGATGGAAGCTATCAAAATATTTGCATTTTTTTGAAGTTACTACTAAAAAATTCCACTTTTGTGATCTGTATTCTACAGTCATCTAAACTACACAAAACAGAATACAGTGTTAAGGGCTATTTGCTGGGATCAATCCCCTTTCCTACAATGTTCCCAAATTCCTAATACGACAGAGATTTTCTTAGGCTGTCATTTCTCCGTGGATGGATGAGAATAAAATTATCCGAGACAACAGTCAGTCAAAAAGTTCACATAGCTAAAAAGTCATAACATTATAAATGTCTCTCGTGCATGCAAACTACTGAAAAAAGTAAAGGGACCTTTAGATCTTTGCTTGGGAAGGGCTAGTGGCTGTTTCTACAACGGGAGGACAAGAAATAACAACTGGGGAAGGACGTGATCAAAGTACACAACAAACATGTATGAAAATGTCATACGGAAACCTTTGTTTGCTTTGAGACAGTGTCTTACTATGGCAACCTGGCTGGCCTAGAACTTGCTGTGTAGACCAGGCTGACCTCAGACTCACAGAGATCTGCCTGCCTCTGCCTCTTGAGTGCTAGGATTAAAGGTATGTGTCAGTATACCCAGAAAACCTGTTATTTTATAAAAGTAATATGCTCTAATAAGAGACAGGGAGATGGCTCAGCAAGTCAAGTCTCTAAATTTAATCTCCAGAACCCATGATCGAAGGAGAGAACTAACTCCAACAGCTGTCCTCTATCTTCCAAACACACATTGTGGCACATGCACACCCAAACACATAAATAAATGTAAAAAAAAAAAAAAGTAAAGAAAATCTTTGAATTTTTTTAAGCGGAACTTGCAAAATGTTCTCACTATGAGCCAAAAATAAATCATACAAGATCAGCTAAGTACTTTGTCGTGTACTCATAGTCCAAACTATTCAGAAGGCTGGGATAAGAGAAATGCTTGAGATTAGACGCTGATTGGTATCCATACTAAGTTCAGTATCAATACAGTCCCTCCAGAAAGCAGAGACCACCAGGTTGCCTAAGAGGAAAGAACCAGAACAGACTAGAAATGAAGCAGGTTAAAATAATACCTAATCTTATAATTTGCTTCTATTATTTGCCATAGTGTTTGTTTCCAGGCTGAAATAAGACCATAGACTTAATAGCT